CCGTCGAACGTGTAATGACGTATACTGATATCGCTTCTGAGCCCGGTTACAGCACCGAGGAACGTCCCCCGGAGTCCTGGCCTAATGAAGGAAGCTTAGCCATAGAAGATCTCTCTTTGGTTTACTTTGAGGGAGGACCTCGTGTCTTAAGGGACATCAGCGTTCATGTTTCTAGTAAAGAGAAGGTGGGAGTTGTGGATCGCACCGGTGCTGGAAAGTCATCTCTGGTATCGGCGTTGTTTCGCATGCCAGATCCACTGGGAAAGGTACGTTAATGGTTAAGACGAGAAATAATCAATAGGTCTAAAACAGCTGCCAAAAAAAAAAAGGTTTCACATTGCACAACTGTCTTGGGGGTCCTGAGCGTTTCTATTGCAAGCTATTAGATGGGTGCAGGTAACCATTCCAACTAAGAAATTGTCGACATGCACTTATCTGCGTGGCTTAGGTTTCAGTTCTGTTTCAAGTGAGCCTCAGAAAAGGCGACAAAATTACAGACTGTTTAAAGCGGGAAGTCCCATGCAAAACTCTATTAGATACAGACGCCTATCTGCCTAACCCACAGAACTTATCCAAATGTTCAGAATTTAGAAATAGCTTGTTTTTGTTTTCTTACAATTTTTAAATGCTTAACTAGTGAGCTCCACTCGGCGATTTGAAGTCGTCAGACTTGTTTATTCTCTGAAGCGTCTCACCTCACTATTGTACACTTCTTCAGAGAGTTATACAAACGTAAACCCCGATGTGTACCTATTTAAGCCATACCAGCGACTAATTCAAGAAACATACCTCAAAGGTTTGGCTGGAATTACGAGTGCCAGGGCAACAACTGAAGCCAAAATATATATAGGCAACGCCTGAAAACGCTTTGGGACTTTTTCGGGGGAACGATTTTAGTTAAAAGGGAGCTTAAGCAAACCACGACGACGACGGCAACGTGAACGTCACCAAACGAAAGGTTTAATAAGCAAAACAATGGCTGTGCACGTGCGTTATAAATCTTTGTACATTTCTTTGCCATCCTCTGCAAAATAACAACGTAAAATGACCAAGTTCTACGTCGTCTACTGGACGACGACGGCTAATTTTTCGTATTTCCATTTGGAATTGAACGCTGTCATTACATATTTAGCCTGTGCGCGCTTTTAGCGCCATTCGGCGTAGCGAACAGATCTAGACAAACGCGAATTTCGCTGGTAAAATATAAATTCATTTTTTACTAGGCGTCGTCCTAGGCATCGTCCTAGGCGTCGTCTTCGTTGTTGCTTAAGCTCCCTAAAATCTGTAATTCGACGTCAAGTCTGAATAACTTCCAGATATTTGATAGGAAGACGACGACTTTTTATTTGCAAACTAGCCTGCGTAGCAAGCGTTCCCATTCCAGCAACGCGCAAATTGAAGCGAGAGTTAAAACATTGACGAAAACCGATCGATTCTGAAAAACGCCCAGATTTTCATCGATTTTCATTGATTGACAACTTTTCACTTAGCGCTAAAATTGTATTATTCAGGTGCGAACTCCAAGACGGCACTTCTTCCAACTTGTTTCAAAGCGAAAATACCCCAAGTGTTCAGAAAAAAAA